GGTGCCTCCTTGTCAACTCCTCCAAAACATTGTGTGGACACACTGGGAGTTCACCAGAGCCCCCTCAAATGCCCCCTGGGGTCCCCCTGAGATATTGGGGTACCCTCTTTGCCCCTCCCAGAGCTGGAGCTGGTGCAGAACGCTGTTTTCACTGACCCCACCGACCAGAGTGCCTGGGTCTACCTGCGCTGCATCCTCTCCCGAGGTAATTTGGGGGGGACAGGGGGTCCCTTCAGACCTGGGTCCTTCACCTGGGTACCAGGGGACACCCCCTGAATGTCGGGGTCTCCCCCAAAAAGCCACCCCCCCGCCGAGGATCATCTGCGTGTACGTCAACCGAGAGGACGCCATGTTGGCCGTCGTTTTCTCCCGCCCTGTCGTGGTGAGTCAGGATGCTTGGATTCCCCCCCCACCCCCAGAAAACTTCTGGGTCCCCCCCTCTGTACATCTGTGAACCCCTTGGACACCTGGATCTCCCCTCCCCCAAAAAAAACCCTCCAAAACAGTGCGGCCTGACCTACTGAGATCACTGGACTCTATTAGAAACTTTATGGGTAGACCTGATGGCCCAGTGATCCCCATTGATTTTAATGGGTAGACCTGGTGTCGTTTGCCCCATTGGCTTTAATAGGTAGACCTGATGACTTGTCAATCCCTTTTGACTTTAATGGGTAGACCTGATATCCCATTTGTCCTATTGACTTTAATGGGTAGACCTGATGACCTACTGATCCTCATTGACTTTATTAGGTAGACCTGGTGTCCCCTTGGTCCCATTGGCTTTAATGGGTAGACCTGATATCCCATTTGTCCCGTTGACTTTAATGGGTAGACCTGATGACCTATTGATCCTCATTGACTTTAATGGGTAGACCTGGTGTCCCCTTGGCCCCATTGGCTTTAATGGGTAGACCTGATAGCCTATTGATCCGCATTGACTTTTATGAGTAGATCTGATGTCCCATTTGTCCCATTGACTTTAATGGGTAGACCTCATGTCCAGCTTGTCCCCATTAACTTTAAAGTGTAGACCTGATGTCCTCTTTGCCCTATTGCCTTTAATGGGTAGACCTGTTGTCCCTTCAACCCCATTGACTTTAACAGGTAGACCTGATACCCTGAATATTTCGGGGCTAAAAATGCCCATTTTGGGGATCGAGAAAGCTCCGATTTTGGGTTAAAACCCAACCGTTTCTGCGCCCCCAGGTGAGCCCGGATCGCCCGGCGACCCCTGGATGGCTCCGCCCTGGAAGGGGCGTGGCGCTCAGGGGAAGGGCGGCCACGCCCCAGCCACACCTGGGTATCCTTTCCCCTAAACAGGAGGGCGGGGCTGGGGTGGGCGGGGCTTGGGCGGGGCATGGGGACGTGGCTCTCCCAACACGCCTTGACAGGTATCAAAGCTCCTGGACCTGCCCTGCCCCACAGAGGCCCCGCCCACCGAGCGGCCACGCCTCCAGCTGGGTGTCACCTGGGAGCCCGACTCCGCCCACTGCCAGGTGATGCTGCTGCCAGGTGAGAGCCATGCCCAATCCCTGCCACGCCCCTTTGAGCCGCGGCCACGCCTCTTTTCTCTCCTAGACGATGACAAGGCCTGGTGGCAGGAGCCAATCGCGGCCCGGGAGCTGTTTTGGTAAGCCACGCCCCCCCGGGGAGAAAACCACGCCCCCTCGGTGAGGCCCCGCCCCACGGGAGAAAGTCACGCCCAATCGGCGAAGCCCGCCCACCTGGACCTTCCCTCAGCCACCCCCTTATGTTTCCCTATGGGGTGAGCAAGCCACGCCCCTTTCTGAATAAACCACGCCCATTTGCTGCTGAGCCACGCCCCTCTCTTACTAAACCACATCCCTTTACTGCTAACCCACACCCCTCATGGCTAAACCACACCCCTTTGATTAAGCCCTGCCCACCTCGACCATCCTTTAGCCTCCCTTTGCTTCTATCCCTATACGGGCTCAAGCCACACCCCTTTTAGCGAAACCACGCCCCTTTCTGACAAAACCCCGCCCCCTCAGGCCCGAGGTGGGGGTGGCCAACCCCCAGGTGCTGTGGGAACAGGTGGAGACCTGCCGGGAACTGCTGGAATTGGAACCCTGGAGCCGAGGTGAGGCCATGCCCACCCGGCCCCGCCCTTGGGGAGGCGGAGCCATGGGTACCAGTTCACACCAGTTTGTCCCAGTAAGGGACCAGTGTGCTTCAAACCCCCTCCCAGTACCTCCCAGTGACTACCAGTCCCCCCCAGTGACTCCCAGTGACTCCCAGTGACTCCCAGTCCATCCCAGTCCATCCCAGTGACTCCCAGTCCATCCCAGTCCATCCCAGTGCCTCCCAGTGACTCCCAGTCCACCCCAGTGACTCCCAGTCCATCCCAGTGACTCCCAGTGACTCCCAGTGCTCCCAGTGACTCCCAGTCCTCCCCAGTCCATCCCCCTCCATCCCAGTGCCTTCCAGTGACTCCCAGTCCACCCCAGTGACTCCCAGTCCATCCCAGTGCCTCCCAGTGACTCCCAGTCCACCCCAGTGACTCCCAGTCCACCCCAGTCCATCCCTGTCCATCCCAGTCCACCCCAGTGCTCCCAGTGCCTCCCAATGACTCCCAGTCCACCCCAGCGTCTCCCAGTCCACCCCAGTCCATCCCAGGGCCTCCCAGTGCTCCCAGTGACTCCCAGTGCTCCCAGTGACTCCCAGTCCATCCCAGTGCCTCCCAGTGACTCCCAGTCCACCCCAGTCCATTCCAGTCCCTCCCAGTGTAACCCAGTAACCCTCAACCACCCTCCCAGTGCCTTCCCCATCCCCTCCCAGTCCCTCCCAGTATAACCCTGGGCCAGGTAAGAGACAGAGGTGAGGGGGCATGGCCTGACCCTGCATGGGCATGACCAGGCTGCCTCCTCACCCTATCGCTGCTGCTGTTGGCGCTGGACCCCGTTGGCCACGCCCATGAGGCCTGGAGGCACCTGGAGAGCCTGAAGGTGGGCGTGGCTTGGGGGGTGGGTGTGGGTCTGTAGGCCACGCCCCTCCCTTACTTAGCCACGCCCCCCAGGAGGCCGACCCGCTGTGATTGGGCTTCGCGGCTGACGTGGCCTCGTGATTGGAGGCGGCGCTGGGGGTGCTGGGATTGGGGGCGGGGCCGGGGCCAGTGTGGCTCCGCCTCCCCGAGAAGGTAAGGAGTACTGGTTTGTACTGGTTTATACTGGGAGGGGGTGCGGGATGCACTGGGAGTGAGTTTTAGGGTTACTGGTTTCTACTGGTTTATACTGGTTTCTACTGGTTTATACTGGGAGGGGTTGCAGGACCCACTGGGAGTGATTTTTGGGCTTACTGGTTTATACTGGGAGGGAGCACGGGACCCACTGGGAGTGATATTTGTGCTTTTTGGTTTATACTGGTTTCTATTGGTTTCTGCTGGTTTCTACTGGGTTGCAGGACGCATTGGGAGTGATTTTTGGGGTTACTGGTTTCTACTGGTTTCTACTGGGAGGGGTTGCAGGATGCACTGGGAGTGATTTTTGGGGTTACTGGTTTCTACTGGTTTCTACTGTGAGGGGGTGTGGGATTCACTGGGAGTGATTTTGGGGCTTACTGGTTTCTACTGGTTTCTGCTGGGAGGGGCTGCAGGACGCACTGGGAGTAGTTTTGGGGCTTACTGGCTTCTACTGGTTTGTATTGATTTCTACTGGTTTCTACTGGTTTATACTGGAGGGGGTGCAGGATGCACTGGGAGTAGTTTTGGGGCTTACTGGTTTCTACTGGTTTATACTGGTTTATACTGGTTTATACTGGGAGGGGGTGCAGGACTCACTGGGAGCAATTTTTGGGCTTACTGGTTTCTACTGGTTTCTACTGGGAGGGGTGCGGGACGCACTGGGAGTGATTTTTGGGCTTACTGGTTTCTACTGGTTTCTACTGGGAGGGGTTGCAGGACGCACTGGGAGTGATTTTTAGGCTTACTGGTTTCTACTGGTTTCTATTGGTTTATACTGGTTTATACTGGTTTCTTCTGAGAGGGGGTGCAGGACTCACTGGGAGTGATTTTTGGGCTTACTGGTTTCTACTGGGAGGGGGGTTCATACTGGTTTCTACTGGGAGGGGGGTTCATACTGGTTTCTACTGGGGGGGGTCCCAAAAAGCCCCCAGCCCCAATTCACAGGGGGTGGGCCTAGTGTGTGTTTTGTTTGTGTTTTGCAATCATGGGTTGTGTGGATTCAAAGTTTAAGATTCCTAAGGAATCTCCCCCTGCGTTTGGTTTTGAAACACTGGAAAACTTTGACTGGTTCTGAGACAACTTTTTAACAAAGGAAGAACTTTGTAGGCTGTCTGTAGGTGCTTGGCCTCTGTTTCGACAGATGAGAGGAGTGACTTGGCTGGAATTTGGACCATTTGAACTAGACACAGTGTTTCGAATGATTTAGCTTCTTCTTGTAGAACAGAGATGGGAAGAAATCTGGTATGCGGAGTTGTTTATGTTTCTAATAACACACCCTGGATTGGGAGGAGGAGATAAGAAAAATGAAGGCTCAGAAAAGACAGAAAAATCAGAAATGGCTTTAGAAAAAGGGAAGAAGAAAGATCGAGTTAAGGCCACTCCCGTCCCACAAATTTTATTTAAAGTTTTATTTAAGTTCCTTTCTCACTGGTTGAGTTACAGCAATGGAAGGATTCTGTAGGGGCATATAGAGATAACCCAGAGAGAGTAGCAAACTATGTCCAGAGAGCAATCAAAACTCAGAACCCTGACTGGTATGACCTGGAAGTTATGATGGACACTTTATTAGATCAAACAGAGAAGGAGATGGTGAAAAGAGCTGCTCGAACTGCAACTGAGATGCTAAAAACCTCTGGGCAGTCTCCAGGGGAAGATATTAAGGACATCTTCCCCCCTGATGATCCCAAATGGGATCCCAATGTACCAGCAAATCTGGAAGCATTGAAACGTTATCAAGACTGGGTAATTTATGGATTCCGGCGTGGGGTTCCGAAGGTGTTAAACTGGTGCAAAATGTGTGAGGTTGGACAAGATACAAATGAATCACCCACAGATTTTCTGAATGGGTTGAAGAATGTCATCAGGAAATATACTGACATTGACAGAGAGTCAGATCTGGGAAAGAAAAACCTGGTGTATTTATTTGTGGGACAGTCCACAGATGACATAAAGAAAAAAATTAGAAGCTGAAATTAAATTCTGCAGGGGGGGAGAAAAAAAAGTTATAATTCCAGACACTAAATATATCGAGTCAGCTGCTTTCTTTATACAGGAAAGTCATGGAGAGATCCCTGCAGAAGTTGAAAATGCTGTCATACCTTTAGTCTGGGCCAGTGAGTACCCTGGGAAGTCAAAACAAGCTGAATCAGTGAGCATCACACTCAGGCCAGGAGCAGTCCCGGTAAGGCAAAACCAATATCCTTTGAAACTAGAAAGCTGAAAAGGCTTAGCACCTATAACTGAAAGGTTTCTTAAATTTGGTTTACTGGTAGATTGTGAATCCAGATTTAATACCCCCAACCTACCGGTAAAAAAGGCTGATGGCAAAAGCTATCGGCTGGTCCAAGATCTTAGGGCCATCAATAAAATAACTGAGGACATCTACCCTATACACTGTTAACCACATTGACAGAGGATTTAGGATGGTTCACTGTACTTGATCTTAAAGATGCCTTTTTCTGCATTCCTGTACACAAAGACAGCCAAGAGATTTTTGCCTTTGAGTGGGAAAATCCTGAGACAGGGAGGAAAACGCAACTAACCTGGAGAGTCCTTCCACAAGGCTTTAAGAACAGTCCAACAATTTGGCCCTGAAAGTGGCCAAAGAGGGAGTTGTAACGTGGACAGAGGAGACCAGAGATGTGTTTAAACAACTGAAACAGTCCTTGATGTCAACTCCAGCACTAGGATTACCAGATTTAACTAAACCTTAACACACGAGCAGTTGAATGTTGCTCTGGGGGTATTATCGCAAATATGCATATTATCAAAATATGCATTTAGTGTTGTACATGCCCACGGAGCCATCTGGGAAGAGAGAGGACTACTGACAGCCCAAGGCAGTGGAGTCAAGCATTGTGGTGGTTCTTTGGGGTAGCAATGGTTTGCCCCGCTGATAATACTGGACCAATCAAAGGGTCACATGCGCCCTACGGAAATTCCATACCCACAGAAACGGAAGAGAAGGGGGTGAAGTAGTTAAGAGGTTAGGTAGCCATGATTTGAGCCAGAAGGAAGCAGGGGGCCAGTGAGCCCCTCTGGGGGCCAAGGGCCCCCAGCCCCCAGTTGATGCTACGGGAGACCTAGTATAGTGTCAAAGCTGGACCGGGTCCTGTAATCAGGAGCTGGAAGAGTTTCCTTACTGTCAGCAGCAGCAGAAGACATTGAAAAGCGGCAGCGGAGCAGCCCTGAACACAGACAGCTATGGCTGAAAGCCAAAAAGATAGCCAGGAGCAGCGAGATAACGTGAAGCCAGCTAAGAGACGCAGAGATGTTCCTGCCTGAGGGAGAGCTGGCAACAAAACAGAGGAAAACTCAACAGAGCTGGTTTGGGGTAAGACTGTATTACTTTCCCAAAACCCAGAGGTTTCCTGAAGAGGAGGGATGGACTTCCAAACCCTTAGGGAGTCTCGAAATGCAGCAGCAGCTAGAGAGAGGGAGAAAAGAGCTGAAAAACCCGGAGCTGTCCTGAGAGCTGAGCCAGGACGGAATGTGGGGGAGGTGCCCGTGCCCTCTGCTGCTGCTGCTGCTGCTTCTATCATGCTGGCGAGCTGAGACAGAGCAAAAGAGCTTTGGTAAGACTGAACTGAAAGCTGCCTTCAGTGTTCTAACCCAAGAGGAGTGCAGATGTACAAGGAAATCCCTCGAAGGCTCGGGCTCGGGGTTGAAATTTCCATTAAGTAAGAACCAAAACCATGACTGCCATACTTAAATCTGCTGCCTTGGAAAAAATGGAGGACACTAACCAGTGCCACAAGAAAACTGAACCAAAGGAACTGTGGCCTGTGCAGTGACAGAAAGACTTTTCTCTTTCCTTCTTGGACTTTTATTGAAGGAAAAGAGGAATTTAATTCAATTTAAATATATATATAGGTGTGTGTAAATAAACCTTTGTAAATGTATTTTCCCTTCCCCCAATAACGAATGGTTGTGTTTAGTCTGAAAACTCTCCAAATGAAGTGAAAAAGATATCAACTCCATACCATCACTAAACCCTCTCACAGGGGCAAATTGTGGGAGGGGGCTTGAACTTAAAAATTGGATCCTTTGGGAGTTTCAAACCACCACACAGAGCTCCTTTGCTCTGTCACAGCTGCCAGCCTGGCAGCAGCAGCGGGGGGTCAAGGCCCTCCTCCGCATTCCCTCCAGCCGTCCCGCTCCAGCTTCCAGGATGGCTGAGCTTCTTAGCTCCTCTCTCTCTCTGCTGCAGGCTGCATTTTAGCACTTCCATCAAGTAGGAGTCCACTGCCTCCTCCTAGGAGGGCTCTCAGAGGGGTTTTGGGCACTTTGATTCAGTTCTTACCCCCAAAACTGTCTCTGGAGAGCTTAGTTCTCTCTCTCTCTCTCTCTTTCTCTCTCTCTCTCTCTCTCTCTCTCTCTCCCCATTAGACATCTCTGTGTCTTCCTGCTTGGCTGCAGGCTGTCTTTGCTGCTTTTTATCTCTTGGCTTTCAGCCATAGCCTCTGCTCAGGGCTGTCTCTGCTGCTGCCTTTCCGTCTTCTGCTGCCCACTCCCAGTGGAGAAGAACTCCCAGCTTTTTCAGTCCCAGACCTGGGTCCAGTTGAACACTGTTTCCGAGTTTCTAGGACCCCAGCCGGGGGGCTGAGGGGGCGTGGTCCCCAGCGGGGCTCCTGCCCCTTCTCCCCTCGTGCTCTCAGAACATGGCCACTTCTTCTCCAACTCCCTCATCCCCCTTCTTTTCCGCTCTGCTGTGATAGGTTTGAATTTTGCAGGGGCGCTGATTGGGTCAACATCAGCAGAGACACCACCCCCTCGGGGGTTCCCATTTTTTGAACTCCAGGGGGAAAAAACACCTTTTTTCCCCACCACACCCTCGGAAACCAAAGAACCAAGCC